TCAACAAACAGAAACACACCAGCCTGTGTGATCAGAAGGTGTTAGCAGGATCAGGTATCAGGCATCAAAGACCCAGAACAAAAAAACCATATACATGTGAATGAGAGGGAGGGTAGAGTGGAGATCCAAAGCCCATCTGTAGACAATTGGACATCCCCTTACAGAGGAGATGAGCCAGTCAGGGTGCAATATAGCACCGATGAAACATTCAACTTTCCTCTAGTTCTTTAATACTTCCTCCCCTCCACTATCATGACCCCAATTCTACCTTACAAATCTGGCTAGACCAGAGCATGTACATGGGTACAGATAAGAGCTGGAAACACAGGGAATCCAGGTCAGCAGGACCAATAATGAGAGTAGAAATACCAGGAGGGGAAGGGGAAGGTGAGGAGAAAAGCGGGGAACCGATCACAATGATCTACATATAACTCCCTCCCAGGGGGACAGACAACAGAATAGTGGGTGAAGGGAGACATCGATTAATGTAAGACATGGAAAAAATAATAATAATTATCAAGGATTTGGGAGGGAGGGAGGGAGGGAGAAAAAAATGAGAAGCTGATACCAAGAGATCAAGTAGAAAGAAAATATTTTGGAAACAATGATGGCAACATATATACAAATGTGCTTGACACAATGGATGTGTGTATGGATTGTGATAAGAGCTGTAAGAGCCCCCAGTAAAATGATTTAAAAAAATACAGTGAAACGTGCCTTAATGTACTATATCACAGAATAAATGCCTGGGATTCCATACAAAGAATACCAAGAATAAAAGGGAAGGTTTACTTAGAATTCTGGATAGAGATGGTGGATGGGACCTAAATATCACTTTGTTTTCACTGCAAAACTACAATAAATGCAAGCTTTTGAAGGAATTCTTAAAAAAAGGAGCTATAGTGAAAAGTTTAGCATAAAAGAAACATTTTAACAAAGAAACAAACTTTATAGTCACTTAAACTATGATGCTTAAAGTATACTTTAAAACAAATGTTCCAGTAAATTCATCTAAGCATAGAAACATCTTGTTCTTTGTAAATATAGAAACTAAAAGTTTTATTGAAATTTTTGTATGTTCTTGAAGGAAAAAAAACCACCAAAAACCTAAAGGGGAAAAGACTGCACATATGATTTGACATCAACCAAAATTACTTTAGGGTTATCTGCCTTTCAGTGTTCAAAATAGCTTTTCCAACAAATGGGTAATATGCTTTAGATCTGAGTATTATTTAAATACTAGAGCTTATGATACTGGTTATTTCTCCCTGGAGTCTGTGGCTTTTAATCAGGTAATTCCATGATCTTTCATGTGGCTTTGCATCTTGCCAGCATGGTTCACATGCTGCTGGTTTGAGATCTTTAGGCTCCCGTCCCTTGGACGGTGTAAGAACTATTCAATAGGGCTGCAGGGTAAGGAGGGCCGTGGTGGTGAGTATTGAGAAAGACCCAATGAAATACAGGAAGTGAGGGCACATTGAAAACGAGGCAACTATGCACTGCCCAGTCAGGTGACCTTGGAATGTTTATGCTTTGAAGCTATAAGAAGGTCTTTTTGGCAGGTCGGAGGCAAACTCTGTCTGTGAGATCCCAACCACACTGTCTTATACTGAACTTGTTTTAGTATTATTTGGGAATTCCAGGACAGAGATATTTATTTACATTTAGTTAGTAGGTCTTCCTCTTGCAGAATTCCAGGACAGAGATATTTACATTTAGTTAGTATGTCTTTCTCTGAAAAGCAAATGATATATTATTTTTAGGTTGTGCTACATTGGAAGCCAAGAACAAAATATTCTAGTTTGGTTGGGATTAGGAGTGGGTCATGAGAATCGGATGTGCTAGGGTGACTGACTATACTTCTTCCGAAGCTTCATGGGAAGTCAAGGCAAACTGTAGTACAATTTGAGTACAAGTTGTAGTACAACTTTTCATGAGGTTTGTGGTTTTATACTTACCAGTTTTTAAAGCAAATATTAAGTCATCAAACTCCTGTGATTCCTCATCTGCTATCAGTGACCCCTGGCTGTATCCTCCAGAGGAGGGAAATGTGGAGCCGTTTTGTGGACTTGGCTTTAAGTCAGGGCTGGCCTGAGTGGCCTGCTGGAAGGATGCCCTCTCCCAGTCAGGTGGTACCTTTGGGGGGTTGGCGTAAAAGAAAAAGAAAGAGACAACCATAAGATGAAATGTGCTTTTCACGTTTATCTATCATTACAATGGCCTAGTAAAAGGGCTGCTGACTCCTTAGAAATTAAGACTGTTAATGTATTGTTCCTTAGGAAATTTTGTCTTCTCATGAGAAGACAATTTAGAAACAATTTAGAAACAATTTCTTTATTAGGAAAACCTGTCTATTTATATGGTGTTATATGTGGAGAAAGAAAACTACTTTAAAAAAGAAAGCTCAATAAATACTCCCCCCCCCCTTTTTTTTGTTGGTATGTGTGTATGGAATATCAAGGAAATAAGAGATGGAGAAGGACCTTCCTAATCCTCAAAGTAAGATACAAAATAATCTTTAAACTATAGCGGGCATCTAGAACAACAAAATGAATAGAGAAAAAAATATTTCATAGCATTCTAAACACCTTTTAAAGTTAATAATTAAAAAGATAATTCTTTTCTGAAATGATGAAGTGTATTAATTTCCTTCTAGATTACTGGTCAACAAAGCTTTAACCCTCCCTTTGTTTTCCCTTCTGTGCCTGACTTCTTAGAATATCTCTGACAGCCCTTCACTGACAGCCGGAACAAGGCCAAGTCTGAGTCTCTGAGGAATGTGGAGCACACTTTAGGGAATGCTGTTGGGCAACACCCAAAATGAATACTTAGTGGACCCAGCCAGGAATTGGCTGTCACAGCTGCTGCCTCCCAATGTGAGGCTGTCTGAGACTGTTGGGACACCTCATACTATGAAAAGTGTCCTGAGGTTTTAGAAATAAACTTTTGAGAGCAGGACCTTAACAAATGCCACTAAGAAGTTGAACATCGACACCAGCCCTGTCCTATCGAACTGTCTCTGTTAATACGAATGTTTGTGCTCTCTACAGATACAGGGCTACTAGAAATCTGTCTCTGTTGAGCACTTGAAATACCACCCATGTGAATGAGAAACTGAATTTGTAATGTCATTGAGCTTAATTTGTTTAAATTTATATAACCACATATGGTTGCTCTTGTGAGCTGGTGTTAAATTGGCCTCCACTCAGGGCAACCCCATGCACAAAGGGATTAAACAGCTGGGATCCATAGATTTTCATTGACTGGTTGTGGGAAGTAGATAGCCACGTCCTTCTTCCTAGTCTTCATCTAAAATGCCCACGGAAACCTATTCAGCACAGGAACCTACAAACCTGCACGAAAGTCAGGGGGTGGCTGTGCCTGAGGCGCATTGGCCAGGATTAGAACCTCGGTCTCCCACCTGGGAGGAAAGAATTCTGCTGCCACTGGACTGTATGCGCGGTGAGTGGTTAGCATACTAGACATGTCTATTGTAGGCAAATAGTAGAGTGGATAAGCTTTCAAAAGATAGAGCTTTTCAAAAAAGATTAACTCATAAATTGTTGATTTTTAGAATATTCCTGTTTCTATTGCTACCAAATGTAATGCTAAAATGATCTCCCTTTCATTTTAGGGGAGTGGGGTGGGCAGGTAGAGAAATGGCACTAAGCATTTAAGGCTACTCAAGACATATCACAAGCGTAAATGTTACACTTGATTGGCAATTAATCTACGTAATTTCCACCTGATAAGAATAAAATAATTCTCCACCTTGCCACTGAAGAGAAAATAGATAAACTCCTTTGGGCAGGCTATCGATCGATTGCTCCCTCGCGGACACTTGTAGCTGGCATTCATTGTCCAGTGTGCAAACCCAATGACTGTTCCACCTGGCTCCTGACCCCAGAGAAGCAGGATAAGCTGGGTAAGGAACGGCTGCCAAGTACATGCCGGGCAGTGACGGGAACTGCCTACATTACTACCTCCTCCTGGTCAAATGTCTTCAAGTACGGTGTATACTCTGAGCAGGGCCCCAGTTGTCGGTGCAGCATTACCAAAAGGTCAGTGACAAGGTGATTTAAACACAGTAAATGACAAAGCCGTGGAGAGAATACAGAGGGCAGTGGGAGGCAGCCTGGACCGAGGAAATCCTGGTCAGATTTTCCACTCGTGCTTGCTGAAGTACTTTTTTGAGCTTTTGCTCTGGAACATTTTCTGATCTTTAAGGGATAATGAATTTCATCCTATTTTGTTTTCTGAGAGTTTGGTGGGATCGAGAGCTATGAAGTATTTTAAAGAGTGTAATATTTGTTTTTCTTCCAATATAGACTCAGTCATTGTCAAAGACAAACGACGAAGATTTTGGAGAAGGAGATGTTAAATTATGCTTTGTCATTTCCCAATACAAACTGCTAGTACGGACCGCAACTCACAGGCATGAGAAAGCAGAAATGAGATACCACGTGTGATACCACAATCGCCGTTGCTATGGAGTTGACTGCAACTCCGCAGCACCCTTACAGGATGGACCAGAACGGCTTCACAGGGTTTCCGGTGCGTTCATCTTTATGGGAGCAGAGTGCCATGCTTTTCTTGCGTGGAGAGCCTGCTGGATTTGAATGGCCGCTCTGCGGTTAGCAAGTTAGCAACGGAGTGCTTGACTTCTGTACCATCTGGGCTTCCTGACCCCACAACATCGCCCTCTTTAGGCTCATAGGGGCTCACTGTCATTGTCGACTCCCGCGCCCAGTGACCCCATGTAGGGCTTCTGCAACTGTAAGCAGGCGCGCCCGGCCTCATCTATCTCCCATGGAGCTTGGCTGGTGAGTTTAAAGCACCAACCTTGCAGCTGGCCACCCAGCGTTTCTGCCAGGACTCCTTTCCTTGATAGCACAGTAAGAAAACCAAATACTTTAGACCAGAGGACCACCCCCGAGTGAGAGACAGAGAGGCAGTGAGGGATGGTGGTGAGGTGAGCTGGGGCAGAGGTGGTGGTGAGCAGGGCAAGATGTGGTTGTAGCGGGAGTGGGGAGGGGAAGGAGGCGGGGCGGGGTGCAGCACCTCTTCCATAGCACCGATCAGATTCTGGGTGGACTTGCTGATTTCGCCTCCAGCAGGAGGCATGCCGCTTCCAGGTGTGAAGAAGGCCGTGCTGGGCCCGGGGTGCCCATTCATTTCCACGGTGTAGCTGGCCTTCATGGGGCAGCACATCTGGTTGTGTAGGATGAAGTAGACCACAAAAACGTAAAGCCCCTGAGAAAGAAAAGAACACATGTCAAAGGACACCTGCTAGGATGGGGAGCACAAATCCAGCCTTCTGATTTCAATGACACGTCTCACTCACTCATCTCATTTGGCAATAGAACCTCTGGGTAGGGACTCAAGAAGCCCGTGGCTTGTTGCAGACTGTGCATGCCTTGCTTCTCAGTGAAGGTTACACAAGAACCACAAAGCTATTGCGCATGCTCTTACAGAGCTGCTGGTCCTTTAAATTCTTTTGCAGTCATGTCAAACTTGATCATGGCTTTGCTTTCGTCATGGAGCACAAGTTCACTCTTGGTATTTGCGTTCCTGCTACTGTCTACACTGGCTCCCCTTCATGATTTCTACAAGGGCTCTACTGTATACTTCTGTTGGTGCTGCTACAAAGCTGGTTGATGTTGACCTTTACCCTGGAGCCAATTAAAGTACATGAAATTCTGTCTTTTGTGTCACCCTGTGGCTCAAGTTTGGGAAGCAAATTAGAATCTCCGTACTGGCTAAAATGTTACGTTAATCTGTAAAGGAAAAGGCAAGATACTCAAGGAGTTTATTTAATATGGAAGGGAGTTGAGGTCAAAGATTTTCATAAAATAGAAAAAAAACTCATTTGTATGAAATTTGCATTCTCCCATGTTTCCAAAAAAAAAATTCTAGGCGTATAGATGCAAAAATGCCCTTCTGAGCCTGAAATGTACAGCCACTTGTATGAAAAGTCAAAGGTCTATTAGAAAACACCAAGGTATAAGAATGGCACGCAGCTTTCCATATAAAATGAAATTAAGGGTCAATTGCAAGGCTTTCGTTTGATCTTTGCTGTTATCTCTAGCACAAGGTCATAAACATAACCTTTCTCACTCTCCATTGGACCTCTCCTCACCCCACCCTTACCCAGCCCCACCACTTCCACCCAGGTTGGCTTCTACTTTAACAAATGTTTTTAAATTAAAACAGTTCACCTGCCAAAAAATACTTTTATGTGTCATTATTCTAGCTATGTTCAAATGAGTCACTGATTTCATTTTGAAACAGGTTTCCCAGGGGTGGAGGGCAGTAGAGGATATTATGATTTTAAATTATGGAGGGGGAGACATTGGTTCCATGTGCAAATGATGCATGGCCATTAGCAGAAGCAAATCTTCCTGAAAACACAGATACATATCCAAGATGCTTTTTGGAACAACTAATTTGTCACATGGATAAGACCTAATTCTGTTGGCAATGGCCATAGACAAAACAGGGGGAAAAAATGAACTGTCATTCCTAAATTGTGCGAACGTCATTGACTTATTTCAGGATTCCTCAAAGGGCTGTGAAGTGATCGGGTAAAAGCTAGCCCAGGAAACTAAAACCATGTTTTGAAATCCCTCTCTAAGGGCTCATTTGTTCAAATGGCACATTTGCTTGCTTGTTTGTTTTCATATCTGGTCTTTTGTGTTCCAGAAAAGAAAATGCCTGCAGGGACACTCACTCACATGTGAAAACTGCAGGTTATTTTGTTTTTCTTAAAAGAACAAACACATAGCAAGTCCTCTGTATCTTATGGATGTACCCAGGACACCTGAACTCTGTTAACTTACAGTAAAAAAAAGAATATATACATGCAGTTTATATGACATTTGCTTGTGTCCAGCCCAGTACCTTCATATTCCCAACACTCAGCTGCAGAGTTTCTGACCTCAGAGAAAAAACAAGTTCCCATTCCACATATTACATTAACAATCTCAGGTTCTCCTCTTTAAAACAGGCCTGGACTTTAATAAGGAAACCTAGAATCCCAATTATTGGCCCCAAATGGTTGAACACCCACTGAACACACTTCCGGGCAAAGATAGACAAGGGTAAGAGAGTGCTCGCCTTCTAGTCGTACACAAACTCAGCAGCGTCTTACAATACAGTACAGTGGAACCCGGACCTTGACGCTAATCCCTTCTCGAAGCAGCATCAAATGCAATGCAGTCGAGTTCCAAATCGATTTTTTCCCATAAGAAATGCCTTAAAACAGATTAATCCATTCTCGACCACCATGTTTTTACCCCAACCTTGTCTTTTTATACCAAACATTACACAAACATTTCAAAGTAAGTAATTTCAGAGTTAAATAATATGTAAATAAGACACACAACATTAAAAAAGTTTTTAACCACTACAGCATGGCCCATACTTTGAAACTGAGGAGCTCTGGATCTGTGGACACGGATGTGGAGCGGAGGGATGGAGAGAGAGTCCTTGTTTGGAAGAAGAATTCCCTTCCATAAAATCAACAGGCAGATGCTTTTAAGGGGGTTTCCCCTTCTTTGCCTTTTTTCACTAGGACCTGGCTGGCTTTCTCAAAAAAAAGCTGTCTAATGTGGTCTGCTGTTGGCATCTCGGTAACTGCTTTCTAAAAGGGTTTACTAAATGATCATCAACAATATTGATAACACGGTTAACCAGTTCTTTATCATGATGATTCTTTTCAAAACCTCTTTCTTAGGACCCATGTTTTTTATCTAAAAACAGTACAAAAAAGCCACAAAAACTAAGAAAATTATAGCAAAACGCTGGGAACACAGCCGCAAAAAGTTTAAAGAACGTGTACTAATGCCAAGTGACCGAAAAAAACGACTGCTTTTGTTTATAAAAAGCACGTGTGTTGGGTCGGATTCCAATGTTTTGTTCCAGCTCTGATGCAAAATTTTCTTGACATTTCATGTTGAAGTCCGATTGTGTCGAGCACTGGTGCAGTCGAGTCCTGGGGGGGCTAATGTACAAGGTAACAGTTTTAAAGGAAAAGATATATTATCTATCTGATAGTCAATACCTAGTGAAGGTTCACGGAGAAGAGAATGATTTCTATGTATTGCTGTTTCAATTATTTTGATGCTTCAACTGTAATCATGAAAAAAGTACATTTATATTTAACACCTTCGGTAATAAACAACAGCCAGGTACTGTTATAACAATTGGCACATGGACCAGAGGAGGAGGACGGAGCGCTGAGATGTCAACCCGCCCACCTGTGGTTAACTGAAGCTTTGACAGGGGCACTGGGGCTACTCCAGGATGAGAGAAGACTCTCTTGATGAAAGGTACTAAGCAAATGGATCTCCGCCTGCAGCAAAAGGTCACTGCAAGCAGGCCTCATCCAACACACACAAACAGTTTGGGATTGTTTGCTCTCTAAATGTGAACACTAGAACAATGAATTTCCCAGGAGAAAAGTCAAGGGCAATGTTGTTAGAACGAGCCTTTTACAATGAGTTGCCTAAGTGATTCACAAAAGCACAAATGACTAAAAGCAACATAAACAATGGGGGGCGGGGCACATAACAATGAGAAACTTTTGTTTATAAAGGACTTTACCCCAGAAATGAAAAGACAAGCTACTGAGGCTCATTTTGCTTCTGGTCACCATCGGACGAGGCAAGACCTGATAGGACACCCCAGGTTTCCTTCATTTCTATCCTAGTCCTTCTGCTCTTGGAACTCTGGGAATGCAGCAATAAAATGTGGGGCATTGAAGTGTTCAGGGGTTATGCAGCCTAGTCAACAAATGTCTTGGTCCCATGGAGAATCATTGTCACAAATAGACAGCCAACAGAGCTCTTCATACAAAGTTATCTAGAGGTATAAATATAGGCATGTACATGTGTAAATGTGTCCATAAATAATGACAGGGATATAGGACTATGTACATATATTTACATATTAAATATTAAAGTATCAGATGGACATTGGGCCTCTACTCAAACGCTCCCTCAAGGCAAGAACGCTTTGTTCTAATAACCTGGCATTCTGTGATGCTCACCTTCCTGACACAATCACTGAATCCAAAATGTGTGCATAAGCAAATGTGGTGAAGAAAACTGATATTGTATGGCAATTAAAAGATCTAGTATCTGGGGTCTTAAAGGTTTGAAGATAAGCAAGCAAACATCTAACAGAGAAGCAACAAAGCCCACATGGAAGGAGCATACAGCCGGTGTGATCATGAGGTACTGACAGGCTCAGGTGTCAGGTAGCAGAAGACCCAAAATAAATAATCATATAGATGAGAACGAGGGGCTCTCAAGTGGAGACCCAAAACCTATTTGTAGACAATTGGGCATCCCCTCACAGAAAGGTCACAAGGGAGGACAAGTCAGCCAAGCTGCAGCATAGCACCGACAAAGCACATAACATTCCTCTAGTTCTTTAATTCTCCACCCCCACCACTGGCATAACTCCAGTTCTACCTTACAAATCCTGCTAGATCACAGCATATACACTGGTACAGACAAAAGCTTTCCACACACGGAATCCAGGACAGATAAAATCCTCAAGAACAGCAATGGGAGTAGAGATACCATGAAGGTAGGAGGAAGGTGGGGGGAGAAGGTGGAGAAAGTGGGAACCGATTGCAATGATAGACATATAACTACCTCTGCCTCCAGGGGCGAACAACAGAAATGTGACTGAAGGGAGACAGTGGACAGGATAGGCTATGAAAATAATAATAATTTATAAATTATCAAGGGTTCACGAGGGTGGGAGGGTAGTGGAGGGAGGGAAAAAGGAGGAGATGATACCAAGGGCTCAAGTGGAAAAAAAATATTTTGAAAACAATGATGGCCAACTTATGTACAAATGTGCTTGATATCATTGATGTATGGATTCTTATAAGAACTGTAAAATAATTTATAAGAAAAATAAGACAAGTTACTAACGGTATCTTTGGGAACTATATAAGAATCTAATATATATAAAGTTTGGCCGTTTAACAACAAATAGACAAGTATCCCAGTCCAAAAATGATCAAAGAGTTTTAAAAGATATTTCACCTAGCAGGTCATGCCAGTGGTGACCTGATGGGCATACAAATGAACAGGTGCTCTGGGGTATGAGGCATTGAGAGAAGCAAATCAAAAACACAGGGAGATATCATTACAGTCCCACTAGGATGGCAAAGACAAAATAACAACAACCCAAAATAAAACAAAATCCAAACACACAACTGAAAATGTAGAGAATGT